TTATCTGAATCTGTTCTTATACCGTATTGTCGTTTCTACCATTCTGAAGAAATCGAACTGAAGCTCAACAACGCTTCTCTTAATTATTTTGAACTCGCTAACTTCCTCTTCCTGTGATTTTAACAATCAAATTTATGAAGAGCTTAACAAAGAGAAACGCAAAAAACATATAAGATTGGACTACGCTTTCTTGTAAGAACTAAGATTAAATATATCATTAGTTGAATTAAAGTAACTTTGTAAATTTTAAAAATTTTAATTATAATACGAAACCTGGTAAACAAATGGAATTGAACTTGAACGGTTCCATAATTAAATTTGGACATAATTGTTCCACTTACTAAATACCCGAAAATTTAGGGTAGGTTTGGTTCTCGTTCGAAATGAACTGAACCGGACGATATCCAACTCTAAATATATTTAACGAAAAAAAGGTTTTTATTATGAAATTTTGGAAGTTAATTAAATTATTATTTTCCTATAAGCAATGACGGTTTCACATTTCTCTTTATGACTCATGTTTGAGCTTTCCGCTTAGTGATGAATATTTGATTATTTGAACGGATTTGTTCTATTGTGTTTACTTTGTTTTGGATTATACTTTTATTTGGAATTACTATTTTGGCTATGTTTGAATCACATTCTTTCAATATATATATATATATATTCTTATACAGTAATTTAATATTATTTCAACCATATTGTTCAATAAAATAATATTACGAGTAAATCCAAAATTTTTCTCATTTTTTAACTACACATTCTCCATCAATCTACTATTCTAAAATATATTCCTTCATAAAAATGCGGCTCAAACATGCACTTTATCCTTTCTAAAATTTTTAAAAATGTGGTCGAAACAAATTGTTTTGGTAAACTAATGGCGGACTGGAAGGTTTCCGCTCATTTGAACTCCAATTGTCTTCACTTGAAAGGTTTGGACCATGGATGCAACAAATGAAAGATTTAGATAAAACTTGCAAAGAATTGAAAGATTTGGGGGCACAGCTACAATTATTCGTTGTTCAAATGTGTTCGAAGAATCTGGAAGTTTATTGAAGGAATTAAAAAACAAGACACAACAAGTTGTTTCTCCTTTTGGGGTTTGAGTCCTTCAGGTTTGGCGCGCGAGGGTTAAGGAGAAGAAAGGGAATTTCTTGTATTTTATGTTTTCATTTTGGCTAAAAAAGGGGGCCCACAAAGACTTTTTCCCTGGCAGACTAAGATATCCGTATTTTTCATTTTAAATATTTTAAAAATCCACGAAAAATGAGGAAATTTTCTTAAGACGATGAATCTGTAATGAAGGGACAATATGTTTTTAAGAAGTAACCTCCGATTCTCACCACGATCGCCACGTGTTGCCAATTTTTTTTTTTGGCGACCCACAAAGGCTTTAATTTAAGGAAAATTCTATTTGTACATAATTATTGCATATAATGATGTCCATAATGTCATGTGACAATCATTCGATTGTTGATTTGCAAGTGTGAGATTTGAATTGAAAGTTAGATTTAGCGTCACGTGTAATTATGGATATCATTATGTAGATAATTATGTACATGTAGTACTTCCCTTAATTTAATATTGCCCAATTTATTTTTTTTGATATAGTGGAGTCTATAAATACCTCTTCCATTTAACTCGAACACAATCTTAATCCAGAACAGGATGTCATGCCTAATTGACGTCACTCTCTCTTTTCCAATTCTGACCAACATTCTCAAATCTACATGTTGACACACTAAAAGTGCAGCCCAAATCGAATAGCTCAAGGAATGAAGTCCAATTGGGGAATTCCCAAATCAAATAACCCAAATAATGAAGCCCAACTGGGCAATTCAGGATAAAGGCCCAGATATGATTATTAATGAATGCAGTGGAAGCCCACGAACACGGTAACATCATCGCCCAAACTTATAAGATGCCTAAGATCTGAGCGAATGAAGTGCCTTACAGTCGCCAAGAGCTATGACACTGTTCTCGCCCAAACCTTCGAATCGCCCAGGATCTTAGCAAACATAAGATGTTAGGGTTATCCAGAAATGCAGTTATTGAAGCAGTTATTGAGTAACCTTATCACGTTTCACGATTCAAGGAGTTCAGTTGAAAACGGTTGAACGACAAAGAATAGTGGCAGCAGTTAGAGACGGCAGTTCCACGACAAGTTAGCCACATAAAAAAAGTGGGTAGTTATAAAGCAATCAAGCAGTTTCTAAGTGGTTGATCATGAAGAAATCATCAAGGGAATATAAAAGGAAGAGAATACATAGAGCACAAGGATCCCGAATCAAACACTCTCAAACAGAGAATATGAAATTTCAATTTCTTAGTTTAGACTTAAACATTTCTTTTCAGTACTCGTGTGCTTGCGCCCCTTGGAGGCATTCTGTTTAGTTCCAATTGTAAAGTCATCGCCAAAAACATCCCTTTTTGGGACTTTGTCTCAAGAGGTTTGTTCCTTACACAATCGTCTGATCCCTTTTTAATTGTTAGCGACTACCCGCGCGAAACAATTTGGCACGCCCAGTGGGACCTTGGTGTTTGGTGTTGAAGATACAAAATGTGAAACAATATGCCTCAAAAATCTGATAAGGAAGCAAGTCAGGGAGGAGTCCAGTCTGTGATCGAGCGATATGAGGAGTAGCATAGCTCTCCACGAACAGATGGACAGAATCAGAGCAGTCATAGTCGTTACGAACCAATGACAGAGTTGAGTCCTCAAACTATGCGTGCATTACTTGGAGAACTCACACATGATGTCCTTGAATAGGTAAATCTACGAAATATTCAAAATATGGAAAGATTTACCCAGAATGGGAATGCACATTATGACAACATAGCCAAGCAACTGAATACTTTGAATGCAATAATGAATAAGTTAGTAGGCCAAATTTGTCAGCCAGTTGTACCTCTTGCAAATCACTTCCAAACTAGGACAATTGTGGGACATAATCCCCCAGTCCTAAGTCCAAATCAGGGGTAGAACCACCTTTTGGTCCCTCTACTTCAAACCAGGAAATGGTGTAATGCCAAATCAGAATAATGGCAATGATACATCTAACTTGGGGGGTAACCTAAACGTAAGAGACAATGTCCTAAATAATTGACAGAATGCCCCACGTGTTAATGATGAAATAAATATACAGGCTAATGGTAACAATGACCCAAATCATGGCAACTTTGTTGCCAACCAAGGACCAAATATCAGGACTAAACGAGTTGCGCTTCTCAGTGGAATATGCACGTAATACGGCATATATGGTGGATTTGACTGATAACACATGCACTTGTAGAAAATTTTAGTTGTAGACTTTTTCATGTGAGCATGCAGTCGTGGTTGCTATGTACCGAGGATTTGCAACTAGAATATTGTGCTTTCATTATTACACGACTGATTATTGGGGAGCTTCATACGCTGAGACAATATTTCATCTACCGAACGAAACTGAGTAGGAAGTCCCCGACCATATTCGCCCACTCAATACATTGTTGTCATCTCTTATTGAATCGCGTGGTCTTGGACGTCAAAGTACGTCTAGAATACCATCTACTGAAAAATTTCCTCGATCGTGTAGGTGCAGTCGATGCAAATCAGTAGGACACACTAGCCAATATTGTGCAAGTCACGTTCCTCTCTAAATAACAGTTAGATCATTTGGTAATATTGTCTATCTGAAATAAACAGTGTTTGCATTTATTCTATGATATTTTAAATGATGTCGTAATTTAATAATCAATTACAGTGTTTACAAAATTTCGTAACTACAAAAAATCAATATTTACAATTATTTCGTAATTACAAAAAATTACAACTAATAATTACACTAAATCAATGGATCACCATTAAAATAGAATAAGTCGCACGCTAACTTATTCCGACAACTTTGTATTCAGGATTGGTTGATTTCATCAACCTTATATGTTATACTCAAAAATTTGATATACTTTATTGCAAAAATGGCACAATCACCCCTACAAATGAATAATAATGAGTTAGATCATTACCGTGCAACAAAAAAACTAAGTATTAAATTTTAAAAATTTTAGAACCACTTACGATATTGTTTGTCTCGTCGTCGTCGTGTCCTGCACGATGGCTGATCTGTCATTCACGGTCAATCCCGCTTGTCTAGCCATCATAGGGAAAAAAGAGCAATGGACTTCAGATTTTACTCGAGCCGACCCTATGTCAGACATGAATGATGAGGGTTGTACACATATATAGTAGACTCAGCGAATACAATCTTCAAGGCTATGTAGTGATTATTCACGATCACTGGTATGTACATATGTGTACAACCCTCCCATGACTTCCCTCAACACGTGGTCACATCCCTATGGTCCATTCGAGCATGTTGTCGGGCACCGCATACTCTTTGCCGACATGTTGGAGCGATTGGTACTCAATATCAACGCTTCGTCCGAATTCCAAATTCAGTATGACTCGACCACAACTCAACGCTGCTTGTTGAAATTAACGGATTTTCTCACTTTAGTGATGAAGGGATAACATGATATATATTTCAATGATCATTAAAATGCATTTTGAAGTTCAATTATAAATTTGTAATATTTGATGGAATTACCATCGAACAGTTGGCAATACTTTATTAGGACCATACTAAACTAACACAAAAATGTTGTTTGTACAGCATTTTTGTTTACATCAATTTTTACACTTTCTCACAAAATAACCGTGGACCTCATTCATTTGCATATGTGTGTGATGTAAAAAATGCGTGAAAAGTGATGTCCTTGTAAAATAGTTGAAACTAACAACGAGGCTACCGGCCCAGAAACCAAAAAGAATGGTGAATAATTTTTTATTCAATCGAAACCCACAACATAGAGACGGCCATCCTTTCCAGAAAATATTTTCGGTGACTGTAGCATTTTCCTACTTAACCCAATAAAAATGCTTCCCACCCTAAACGGCTAAACCCCTGCTGTCAGTCTTTCTCTGTCCATCTTCTTCTTCTCTTCCGAAATAGAGTAAGATGGAGACACAAAAGCAAGAAGAGGAGGAGCAACTGGTAACTCGATGGGAAGTATCGGCTGAAAAGGGGGGCAAAATTGACTACGACAAGCTTATTGACAAGTTTGGCTGCCAACGCCTCGATCAATCGCTGGTCGCCGTGTTGCGCGCCTCACCGGCCGTTCGCCCCACGTGTTCCTTCGAAGAGGGGTGTTTTTTGCGCACAGAGATTTCGGTGATATTCTGGATGCGTATGAGAAGGGACAGAAGTTTTATTTGTACACTGGCCGTGGTCCATCCTCCGAGGCCTTGCATTTGGGTCACCTTGTGCCGTTCATGTTCACCAAGTAATTGAAATTTTTTGAATATATGTTTTGTTTTCTGTTTGAATTGAGTTTATTGTGTGTTTAACTGGGAGTCTGATTGAATTTGAATAAGATGCAGTTCATAAAGCTTTATGTACAATGTTCTTTTAAATTGTTACTTTTGAATACACTTCTTCGCCCCCTCCTACCTCGGATTTTCACTCAATCATTTTAGCGTGGTGGGGAAAGAATGGCTTATTTTCGGGTGATCTTACAAGGGACTGCTTTTTTTGAGAATATGCTACAGGGGACCCCTCTATAAAATAAAATAAAATAAAATAAAATAATAATAATAATAATAATAATTTCAACGCAGACTCTCTCTCTCTCTCTCTCTCTCTCTCTCTCATGAGGATACTGAGGTTTCTTAATTAATTTAATACAAAGCAGAAAAAACAATTCTTTTTTTTTAATTCATTTTTATCTTGGTAGTAAGCCCTTGAATGTGGACCTATTCCTTCACAACTATTCTGTAACCTGTTATTTAATAACCACCTCATCTGTCCATTATTCTAAGTGGATCATGGCTCAAGTTTCTTGTTGAACCTATTTGCTTTGAATTTTTGCCATCATAAATGTTTGCATCTTGAAATGCCTATGGTATGATGACTGTATGGGATTTTCACTTGTCTAATTGGCCATATGGTAAACTTGCCATTCTCTGACTGAATTCACACTGTTGGTTATTATGTATATATATCCCATCATCTTGTTTTGAATTTTTTACTTTTGTTGTATCATTGAACTACCCATGCTTTTTGGTTGAGATTTGGCAATTATTTCCCTCCCTGTAACAATTATTCCACTAATCATATTTTAAATGGTAACCAAACTCAGTGAAACCTAAAAGGCTCGTATGAATGTTTTTGTTGCATTCATTATTTAGTTAGTGTTATCGCATTAGATTATGGGTGTTTCCTTTATTAGTAGCTACTAAACGCTTACATACTTTCAGGCTGCTCCATCCTTTCCAAGTTCATTTCCACATCTCTTCTCTGGAAAAGATGATCTTCACTGCTTGATTCCTTGTGCGATCGACCAGGTTTAGTTTCTGTCCTGTTCAGTTTTTTTATTTTTTTAACTAGGTTCTGATTATAACATTAAATGAAATTGCTAGCAGATTCTTAATCAAATTTTAAAAATGTGATGGTGTTATTACTGGTAACTCCATCAGTTGATCATCACAGATGAAGGATATTTGAATATATCTTACATCATCTTGATCTATGGTTGCATATTTGTAAACGTGACAGCTGCACTGTACTACAAATGATAGGACATTTAAGTGCTGTGGTATAATGAACTTCGTTCTGTATTATCCTTCTGTGCTGTTTGCTTATGACAATTTTCCTTGAATGCTAAACATTTTCCATGAAGAAGGCTGCCTCAGGTCCTGATAGTAAAGTTGCTTTAGTAGTTCACATAGCTCTACAATCTCCAAGTAACTAAATGTAATTCACATTTCATTTTGTAGTTGATATCTTCTAGATTCTTGTCTTTTTGAAGTAACTAATCTACTAAAAAGTGTGTTGAGTTTTGGTCTTTGGTATGATTTGTTTTTGGAGAAACACCTGCAGGCATCCTCTATCTATTTTATTTATAAGGAACTGTTTGGAATTAATTAATAAATAATTTTTGATGTCTAATTCTTGATATGTCTTAATATAAGATATATGGAATGCTAAAAGTCAGACGTTACCGTAGGTCAAGTCAATGTAGAAGTTTATTGGTAATATTTGAAAATGTATTTTCATGATTCATTTCTTGACGCTGTTAAATTTGGACGCTAACTTTTAGGCTGTGGAGACAAGTCTTTAATTAATCCCTTTTACCGTTCTTAATAAACAAAGTCCACTTATGCTTGAAAAGAGGCACAGAAGCATGATTCTTCAGAAGTATTATATATGGGCATGATATCCTAGATCTGTTGTTCTTTTTTGACATTAATTTTTTTTATTTTTCAGGATCCTTACTTCCGAATGACGCGTGATGTTGCTCCTAGAATAGGTTACCACAAGCCTGCTCTGATCGAGTCATCATTCTTCCCAGCACTTCAGGTTTCTTTATGTTTTCTTATTAATGCGCACTCTCATACCTTGGACATAAATTGTTATAGTTCTGCATGGTTAGCCGATGCTTGATGTAATGCTCCGAAAATTTTATTTTATTTATGATTAATCATTATTGTCTTGGCTTCGGGGAGGGGATTACGTGTCTTAGTTCAAGTATAAGGTTTGGGGAATTTAATTGTCTTGACTTCCACCTCATTTGATAGATCATGCACATGTATTTTAAGGGAGCAAAACTTGCCTTAGTGCTAGAATTTCATTCAACCTCCCATAATAAACATTACAGTTAATCAATAATTATAGAATATTTTGGGGATCATTACCTAGAAATATCAATTTAATTTGCATATGCATGTGACTTGTAATATTTTTACATTTACGACTGGGTAGTTTGTAATTAACAATGCCCTTAAATATCTTCTTTCATATTAAGTAAATTTCTCACAAATTGCTAGACAAATGGTAAGGCACGATTTGGGCCTCTGACAAATATTCTACATCCCCATCAAAGTTAATTATTTTGGGTATATAGTCCAATTAAGCTTATAATATATTATATAATTATTTATTTCATTTTTATATGATGTTATGTTATTATATGATAACCAGTCATTTTATGTAAATTGATGCAAACTTGATTATTCTTATATTAAATAGATTCTAATTAATTTAACTTGATTGATATCCAAACAAGGAGTTTTTTTTATTGGACTGATTAACGGAACTAATTGACGAGATTCTGTTGGTTAGGTTGTATCTGTTATTTATTTGATATAATTATTTTTTCCGTGAATAATTATATTTTTACAGTTAAACGTATCTTGGACGAACGATCGACGTGCCTATTAATTTAATTACGATACGTTTATAACTTTATTATAGTAGTTATATTTATATGTTATTACGTGCTCACGATTCGTCTCGCTTTAGGATTCAACTTAGAAATCATATTAAAATATTGTCTCTTCTCAATACGTGTATTTTGTATCATTTAATGTAAAAATAGCATGTGGAGAACATTATAATCTTGTAATTGGTAAATACTAATTTAAAGTGTTAATCAAGCGAGGTAAATTTGGATGTTAAAAATTAATTAGCATAAATTGTGCCTAATTATCTATAATCATTAGGTCGAAAATGAAGACTTCTTAACTAGATTGACCACTGTCTTTTAAATGATTTAATAGTATAAAATGGGGCCTTGCTAAGTGATTAGCATCAATTATACTTATGAGACGTCATCAGTTTAAAATAATGTTTTCCTATGCATATTTACTTTTGCATTGCATTTCACTCACTTTGATCAGCTACACGTTAACATCCTCACAGTATCCAAAATCTTGATTTTTGCTTTGCAATCATCAATCAACTCATGATTTATCATAAAATATATTTTCGATAATTTTCTCGGCATATAGACTCGACAACGACGAAAGGTTTTGGGAATGTGAATTTCCTACTTCCAACAATTTTATTGTCAAAAGAGGTAGGATACTTTTGTGTGCAAGTGAATGTCATTTCAATATAATGATTTTTATGCGTGATTTATTTCATGAAATGCTTATTGACCTGCGGATCCAATGAAATGAAATGAAATGTTTGACCTGCGGGTCTCAAAGAAATGAAATGAAATGTGAGATCGCTTTCGGGTCTCCTCAAATGTACTAGAGCTTTCGACTGATCACCGATTGCTCTTGATGAAATGATGGTATGAAATGTTATGAATTTACGTTTTAAAAGTTATCATATTGTTCGGACGCACGTATCCTACTGAGTGTAATTACTTACTCCTTTAATTTCAACATTTCAGATCAGTAGGGTCGACGTGGAGGTGGCTGAGCGATGCGCGGGTTGCCAAGTAAAGAAATTGTTTTTCAAGAAATCTTTCAAAAACAATTTCGTTAGGCTATTTTGTGTCTCTCTTCAACGGCCTTTAAATTTACTAGTTGGTTGTCTATAAAAACATGTTATTTGATTTATTTGGTGATTGCGTATATTTCCATGATTTAAATTTAATTTATGAATGTTCTAGTATCTTGTTTATTTAAGAATTTTATTCTTACTGTTTGGTATTTAAAATAAATAAAAGTAAGTTTTTGGTAACGGCCCATACCTATTTTATAATTAAAATTTGGGGCGTTACACAGGGGCGAATGCAGGATCCAAATCCAGCTAGGGCGGCGGTTAACCGTTGATCGTAATAGTCCGATCGTCTATTAAAATTTGATTAAATTTTTTCAATTATTCTAATTTCCTAAATATAAATACCCAAATCAATAATCATAACTCATGTCTCGGATAGATTACTTACATAAATCACTATCACAAATTCACATTTCTCCATAATAACTCACAAGTCACAAAACATAAATCACAAGTCATAACTCATTATTTATAAGACCAATAAGGAATAACAATTAACTCAATTTACAGACAAGAGATAACAGCATTCATTATTATTTATTCAACAAATCAATGAGAAATAGCCAAAAAAATAAAACAAAAACAATACCCAAAAAAAAAGCAATAAAATAGAACATAAAGCACTCACCAGTCACTAGGCGAAGCTGAATTTTGTTCGCCTAATCGGCAATCACCCTTGCAGTCGATTAATTGATTTGGTGGAGTTTGCTGTTTGGAATTGGACCATTCTTCATTTGGGGACTGCTAGTACCCAACTCGAATTGTGGGGTAACAATTCATTGTCAATTTGTAAGCAAAATTGGGCCTATTTTTTTAAACAAAAAAGGCCCAAATAACAGGGATGGATGGATCATTGTAATTTACAGCCAGCAGCCCAACGTGAAACCCCCCCCCAAGAAAAAAAGAAACTATTCGGAGTTCTCATCTCTTTCCCTCATCTTTCTGGCTGCCTGCAAATTCACTGTTCCTACCCGGCGGCTCCAGGCGTCCCTCAACACTCCGGCGGAGCCAGCACGCGCGGCCGCGCCCCCTCGCCGGGTGCTGGCTCCGCGCCTGGCGTTACACTTGATCCCCATTTTTGGGGAAAAAATGCATTTTGGAATAGCGATTTTTCTGAGAATGTGTGGTCGAAAATGAATTTTGAAAAAAATGAGTTTTTGAAAATTGGAACCCAAACAGGGGCTTAATTTACTGCTGAAAATGGTCACCTTTGTTTTCTTTGAGTTAACTTTTTGCTATTTTGGGTGAAGCTTCTACTATTTACCTTTTTTGTGGTTTCTAAATTGGTTTCACAGATGGCACTTTTCAAAGGCAAGGATTAATTAACCACCTTTTAACCCCTCTTATGATCATTCATTTTGTCTTCACTTGTGATTGTTGGTCAGTATATTGTTTGACACCCTATAAATGAAATGAGTATGAATGGAGAAGGGAATTTTTGGATAAGATTTCTTAATATTTTAGATGATAGAACTTGTCTTTTTGACAATCATGCAGTCTATATTTATTAAAAGGTTTTTGTTTCTCCAATTCACTCTGCAACATAGTCAATTATTTCTTTTCTGTAAATTATCCTTTGAACTGTATTATATTTCTGCAGGGAGAAACAGGGAAAATGTCTGCCAGCGACTCAAATTCTGCTATATATGTTACTGATTCTGGGAATGATATAAAGAACAAGGTTTTTCTTTTCTCTTTAAACCAAGTTCTTCTTAAATGTCGTAAATATCTTTCATATACTACTCATAGTAACTGTATTTGAATACTAAATTTTTATCCTTGTTCTCCTGATAGAAGGGCAGACATGATGCATAAATCTTCTGCACAACTCGTAGCTCTAAATGATAATCTGTGATTTGGGAGGAAACATTTCCAAGAAATTGAACGTTTACATGATTTAGTCTTCCTACATTTTGTTTTCTGCTATCTGATGTGATTTCAGTGAAAAGAAAAATATATTATGGCTTGACCGTGATTCATCTGTTTTAAAGTCAGGGTTTTTAGTTTGTTCTTTAACTTGTTTTCATGCTTGTGCAAGAAATTCCTACAAAGTCGGAATCTGTGTTGAAATATTCATTGGGTTGTTTCTTAGAAGTTATGTTGTTTTCATTCTCAACTGTTAGTGTTTATTAACTGAATTTATACCTTAAAAGTGCACCATAAACTGGAACATGTTAATAAATTGTTTTTAAGACATAAATTTTTAGACTAAAAGAATGATATGCATAATGATTTGTTTTACATATTAGTTATTAAAACTTTGCCTGTCATTTCTATCTTTCTATTTTCAGACAGTGATTAAATTTTAATAGGTATTATACTCATTTACCTAAATGAAGTTCTATTGGAGTTTCGACCGAAATAGTCATGTTGATGGAAACCTCATAAATGATTACTTTACTTTCTTTCTTCATCCACTTCTGCCAACAAATGTTGTATATAGATAAACAAATGCGCATTCTCTGGTGGCCAAGATTCTATTGAAAATCACAGGAAGTATGGAGCAAACCTTGAGGTACTACAATTTTTATCCCAGTTCATATTCTAAATGGATATTGAAGTAACTGTATACAAATCTTGACTAGTTTTCCACCACTTGTTCATTATCATGAACTTATGCTTTGTTTGCAGGAGAGTTACTGTTTGTCATGGTTTATTATCTTTTTTGCTTGCTTATTATTTGTGATTTTGATGGAGGAGTACTGATCTCTGTCTCTTCTTGGGCTTTATTAGGTAGACATGCCCATTAAATATCTTGGTTTTTTCCTGGACGATGATTCTGAACTTGAACATGTCAAAAAGGTAGGACAGTAATGTGATAAAGACTCCGTAGCATTTTCTTTTTTGGTGATATAAACACCAATGTTCATTTAATATTGTTGTGTTGCAAACAGCAACGTACGTCTATTTTTCAAATAATGCTCATGTTATCATTTATCAGGAATATGGGGCAGGCCGTATGCTAACAGGTGAAGTGAAGAACCGGCTTATTGAAGTTCTAACAGAAATTGTTGAAAGACATCGTAGGGCTAGAGCTGCCGTTACAGACGAGGTAACTGATTAGTTCCTACTATTAATTGTTGCCATTGATTGTAGTTAGGTAAGACTGATTTTTCTAAAAGTTTATTGTGGATAATCCTATTGTGATTTTGTAGTGTCAGTAGTTGTGGAACCTGATAAAGAAACTACAGAAAATATTCTGGCTTTATTTGGTTAAGTATACATTGATAGGGTGTGTTGTTCCTTTCTTTTTTTTTTTTGGCCAATAATGGTGACCTAGGAAAAAATAAATTCTCTATCAACTAAATAATTCATACAACTTACAAAAGAATGAACTCCAATAATTAGACTGAAGCTATTAGCAGAGCTATTAGTTGGTTATCTATTGGATTTGTTTTATTTATTTGGGTTGTCGGCACCAAAAGTCCTAAGTTATTTTTACATAACTTCGGACATTTTTATTTTTATTTTAACGTTAAATTCATACCTTTGTTTATTTTTATGATCTTCTGATTTAAAAAGAGTAAAAATTCACATTGCTTATAACCAAGTTGGATGCTAAAATTTGGTTTCAATGTACTTTAGAAGAGGTAGCTCTAAATTGACATTTGCTAACCCGAGATTTTATTGGTAATAATTTTATCTATATAAAGCCATGGAAGTGAACTAGAAAAAGTTGGGTATGGGTGATGAGCAAAAGACACCAATGTTTGTATAATTGCTTTGAAAATAAGGAAAAAAACAAGAGAACTCGTTTTAAGCGAATTTCTTTTTTTCTTAATTCGTCTATGATCATGCATAGACATGTTTATCTAGTGCTTCATCATCCTCATAGTAGGAAGTTTGATATTGCCCTGAGTTCATTTTAATTTTATTTGTTCATCACAGTGTGTTCTCTAGTACTTATTTGGATAACAAATTTTCAAATCAAGTAAATTTCCACTCACAATATCTTAAAAAGGAGTAAAGGACTAATTTCAAATTGATATCAGGATAGTGATTTTAGTACATGAACTGGAGTTTGTCACCTAGAAATTTTATCAGGAGAAATTGTAATCGTAATTGTGATTACTGAATATCACTTCATAGATTACTGTTCATAGATTAAAGTAACTCTGTAGATTTAATTCTCAATAAAGGTGAATTGTATGATGACAACTGCAGCTAAATTATTTTCCTTTGTGTTTTTCTTCTTCAAAACTAGTTCGCTCAGATGACTGATGCGATCTTGGTTGAGTACGTTAGACGAGGGAGAGGCAGACCAAAGTTAACACGGTTTGTGGTAGTTGCTAAGGAAGAGAGTCTAATATATCTAGCTATGAATGGAACTAACTGGTGTAAGAGGCTTCATGTAGCCTATTTCAACTTTATTGGGAAGAGGACCTTGATTGTAGATGTTTTTCCTCAAACTAGCTGAACCTTTGTGTATGTTTATGATGTAATTTTCTTTTGCTATATTAATGTATTTACATTCCTTTTCTCATGCAGATGGTAGATACGTTCATGGCAATACGGCCGCTTCCCAATATGTTCAACTAAATTTGCAGGCTACGATAAATCCTGACGATCAACATGAAGAACACTTTAAACACACAAGAACCATTTATTGATATTTATTATACAATTGTGTTCCATGCACCCTTAATTTTTAGCTCATTACAGAATAGAAGAAAATATATGAAAAGAACAAAATTTGCATCAATTTTTTGTCTTGTCTTCTATAGCTGATGGATGGTATTATAATTCAATAGTAATGAAGAAGATGTTGTTGACATGCTTTAACAGCATGGATTCGGACACAAGAATTTCATCTCCTTCTGTGTGGCATTTGAATATGCTTTGTTTTCTTTGTCATTAAACAATGAATAGCATTTTATACCCTAAATAACTTAAAAAGGAATCACGTTAGATCATGTAACCCTATAAAACACATTTTTCAGATGTACTGGGAAGTTGGGATTTACTTTCCGCAGCTAATGTAGGTGGGGGAGAAAGAAAAGATTTCAACATAAAATTAGAGGAAAATAGGGTGCCACTCAACTAAAGTTGAGGGATAAGCGACCAAGATGGTGTAATCAGGCGGCAAAAAGAGTGGCAAAATGTTGTCAATGGAAAGAACTTTAATGATTGAAGAAACTGACACTTCGTGGATGCTGCAGTGGAATGCTTAGAGATTGGAAAGAGCACGAAGGAAAATCTATAGTTAGCAATGCTACTTGTATAATGTGAAAGTTACCAAGCTAGAGTATGGTATGGGCAGATGGGAATAGTCATGAATTCTTAAAGAGGTGTATAAATGAATAGTAATGATATTTGTGTAGGGTGTGATCTAGATCGTTGATCACATTCCAATTTGATATGGTGCGATATAATGGTTCAAATGAATTTGTGCCAAAAGATGCAAGTATTTCGATAAGATACCTTGAAATATATAAATTGGACCTTTCTAATTTCATTTTCTTGACATAAATTCAATTCAATTAAATGGATTTCTAATTAGTTTCTTCTTCAAATTATGTCAAAATAATTTTCAAATTATTTTCGAGTTTCCTGTTCGATATTTTAATAAATAATATCATATAGTCTAAAAGAGTACGGTCAAGATTTGTTCGTCCGACAAAATTAATATTGTGCTATATCAATTTTGAAGAAAACATTGTATTTTAGGAGAAAGACGTCTATTTAATTATGTTAGCACTAGTGTAAAGGCGAAATCTATCTTAAAAAATTTGAAGTTGTATATCTCGCTTTATTTCATCTTTGTCTTATTCATACCTTTTGTACACTCTAGTAAGTCGTGATTTGTTAATTGTTATGCATGTATTGGTGAGTCGAAATTTTTTCCGATATTTAGCACCGATAAGTCGTGGTTTTATCATATTTACATACATGAATTTCTACTTAAAAAGGAACATAATTATGTACCGATTGTACAACAATAAATATGAAAAGAGTTTCAACTATTCATTATGCAATTGAAGAGTAATTCATATTTCGTACTTTTTCATTGGTAAAGAAAAACAATTTAAAAAATAAAATATGTTCCGACTATTGGATATTGTGTTCGTGGAGCATAATTCATATATGCATATAATTCATATAAAGTCTGTGTTTGATAGGAATTAAAATTTGATTTTTAGCAAATTTCGATAAAAGTTGATAAAATGTATAGTTGAAAAGTTGTAGGTTTCATAAATATATGATTAAAATTAATTGTTGATTTTGACTATAATAAAAATCTAGAATAAAATCTCTACTAAACAGAGACAAAATATAGAATGCGTGCAAAGGTGGATAGAATAGATAGAATATAGAATGATTAAAGCGATGTGTGAAAAAAATAATAATAATAAATCTACCTCTGAAAATGGTGCTTTAAATTAACAAAAATAATATCTACGTACATAACCCAACCTGAAAATACTGTAAAAAATGTAGAAAATTAAGAACAAGACGAGTAGTGTAAACAAAAGAAATACATTCTTGTACATAACTAAGAAACGAATCTAATCCCTTAACCAAATAGCTCGAGACACTCTCAAAGTTTGTATTGGGAATAGTCAACGTGAGCTGGCAAAAGTACACACCAAACTTCCTAATGATTTCGACGTTAGAATTTTCTCTTCTAATTATTCCACATCACAAAAAGAAATTGTTGAGGTAATGGATATTGTAACATGAAAAATTAAAATTGTCAAATTAAAATCTGTGAAAAGGTTTGTCGATCTAGTATTTTGTTGGATTCATTAAAAATTGTTAGCTGTGCATATCCAATTGTCGATAATTTTTTTGACGTAAGTTTTCATTTTTCCTATTCATTGTTGGAAACTACGACCATATTTGAGCAACATTCTATGAAAAAATACATTTTTAAACAATGATTTATCATTATTTCAATAACGCATTATTCAATAAAATAATATTATACGTAAATTCAAAATTTTTCTTTTTTTAACAACATATTTTTCGGCAATACACTTTAAAAATACATTTGTAGCGTAAACTTGCAATGGCCACCCATTTGTTGGAAACTTCGATTTTTTATTAGGATAACCATGTGAATTAAGCAACCATGTGAATTAATATCAGTGCACCCTAATTTCGGACCCACAATTGTTTTTTTGCTCTCATGGGTTTTCAGTCCCATATCATGTTGGAAAAGTGAAATGGCCAAACTACGCTCTCACGCTATATATATCAGCCAGTGAAACCAATCACAATTATAATAAGATTCGAGCATGATGTCTTACCTAATTGATATCACTGTCTTTTTCCCAATTCTACCCAACGTTCTCAAACCTACGATTACAGAGAATCATTCCAAATGGGATCCTTTTGATATAGTTCATCACCTCACTTTGATGAAATTTTGTCTTCTCACTCTTCTTCTCTTTCTTGTGTCCTTCATTTTTGTTGGAGTCCCACTCACATTTGCTGGGATTAACACCAGAAACAAGTGGATGCTCATTCAAGTCAAAAAGTTTTCACCATGTCTGATGCTTTGTTTCTTGGCCTCATTATTCCTCCCACAGCTTCTCTTTTGGTATGTTTATCCCATAATTTTGATACTCTTCTTATGCTGGACGAGTATTTCTAGTATGTTGGGCGGCTTTCTGCATGGGATTCAATCGATGCTTTCTGCAATATCTGATCGCTTCATATTAATCAGTGTGGTGAATATTGAAGATGAGCCAAACCCGGACGATGTAGTTTAGGCCAGAATTGACTCTGCAAACTTCGAATTTGTTGGTCATTTGATTTTCCTTTTATTTTATTTTTATCGAATTTGTATAAGGTTTGCTACCTATTTGGACAAAAAATGGATTCTGTATGCAGGGCAGAAACCCAGTTCATAAATCTCTTGTAGCTTTCGCATATGGTTATTAGCAAAGCGTGTGCATCTCTGTCCCTACAGAAAAGCAAAGGGTTGAATTTTATTAACTTAAAAAATATAAAAAATATTTCAACTATCCATTCCGTAATTAATTTATATAACGTACCAACTTTTTAACAGGTAAAGTAAAATGAATATTTCGTGGGTCTTTCTCCCCTGGTGTACAAAGTGCTATATGTTGGAAAATGGAGAAATTTATACTCCAAAAGCAACACTATACACCAAGCATGGCTCATATTTTGTAGGTGAAGCTTAATTCGTGTGTGTGTCTATATATATATATATATATTATGTGCTTGTTTGAAAAAGTTTAAAATTACTAAAAAAATGAAGTCAAAGTTAGCAATTAATTTTCAACGCGAAATTTATGTGATCCACAATTTTTATCAACTTTTAATTATTCATTTGATAATCTTTTACTAAAATATTTTTAAAACTTGTCAAATAATTCTGGAATATAGAACTCTTAATAAGGCAGATCCAATTTCCATGAGCATACAAGACGTCCGAGTGATAGAAAGTCAAATATCACTACAAAGAAATTTCAATGACTTCTCCTAACACCAGATGCAATGGGTAAAACTAGTAAGCAACTTGCACCTGATTTTTAAGAGTATTGCTAGTTAGCCCTCATTTGGCCCTATTTTTTAAAATGGAAATGGATGAAAATAACGACTTTCTCAATGAAATATGAAATAAGGATAAAAATATCAAAAAAGAAAGGTATGGACATTTTGCACAATAATAATGAAAGGTAGGGGTGTTTTGTGCTAATTATCATTTTAATAATTTATTTGAATTCATTTGCACTTTTTTAAAAAGTTTGAGAGTATGATTGCAATTTATTTTTTAACTTTTCATTTCTTATTGCAATTTATTTTTTAACTTTTCTTTTCTTTTTTATTGTTTTGTTTAAATAGGGGTATATAGATTTCACTTTTGCTTTTCCAGTTCTAGCCAACATTCTTAAATCTATAATTATAGAGAATAAATCGAAATGGCATCCTTTCAATATATCTCGTAACATCACCAATTTAGTCTTCTCGCTCATCTACTCTTTCTCGTGTCCTTCATTTTCATTGGAATCCCACTTAACATCTCCTGGGATTAACACCAGAAACAAGTTAAAAATAAAAAATAAAAAATTCGCCATGTCTAATGCTCTGTTTCTTGGCCTCATAATCTTTCCTCAAGTTCTCTAATGGTATGTTTATCCCATAATTTTGCTACTCTTTTTATGCTTAACCCATATTTCTATTATGTTGTGTGGTTCAATCAATACTTTCTACAATTTCTGATCACATCGTATTGATCAGTGTTATGAATATTGAAGATGATCCAAACTTGTACGAACAAAATTCAGGCCAAAATTGAATCTGCAAACTTCAAATTTGTTGGTAATTTGATGTTCCTTTTGTTTTATTTGTTCGGTGTACCAAATAAGTTTGCTCTTTATTTGGACAAACAATATATTTTGTATGGGTAGAATCCTAGTTCAAAATCATTTGTAGGTCGTAAGCTCATGTTTAATTAATATCGTGTTGTACTTATTAAAAATTGTATTTTTTTCTGGATCATTTTGGTATTAAATCAACTTATGTTGGATATCTTTACATTCATGAGTGATCATGACTTACATAGCACATGTCATGTTGATCCGTAAGAGATTATGTAGTGTTATTGCAATACTTGGCTTATTGAAAATAATTTATTTTTTGTTTATCATTGTTGAACAATAAAGGCCCCTGGTAATAAAAATTGTGAAACTCTCGAAAGAATTAGCAAGTGTATTTTTTTTTTATTGAATACTAAATGAAATGTCCAGAAACAAATGAAAATACAGTTAAACTCCAAAACTTAAAAGATGTCATAGTAAATTGCGAAAGAGTTAAAAGTTGA